TATTGCAGAAAAGGCACCGTACACCAACGCTGTGTTCAAAAATCCCAGTGGGATGCAAGTCAAACAACCAACAACAACCACAAGACAACTTAGATTAAGGCCATCAGTCTAACTCTGTACTACAACAAACAAACTTGGCTAAACCAATACACTTTTCGAATCACCAAAATAAAGCCATGAAAGCAATGAAACAGTGATCATAGGAACTGTGACGGAATTTTCACAATAAATGGCATAGACAACATGTACTACCAAAACCCTGCAGCCATAGCTGGCTGCATGAGTCACTCCACAGTCACTGCTGGATGAAGGCCTCTAGCAAGCCGTCAGCATCTGTCGTGCTCCTGCAATGTAACAGTCCCTCGAGTTCCTGCACACGTGCTCAGCTCGTCACCGCATCTCCATGATGGGGGTCGTCTCGGGCGTGTGACCTCGACACGATCCATCAAACCCAAGTTGGGAGTTGCGTGCGCGAGAAAAACGCGCCGAACGCACAATGAGGGTGGACTTTGGTGAACATAAAAAAATTATACGGTAATGGTATTTACAAATACTCTTAGGCCATATCGGTAAAGTCACGTAGGCAAAAAATAAATAATAAAATAAACAACTAATATAAGAAATAATAGAAATAAAATAATAAATCACGACGTTTCGGAGGCAACACAAGTCTTCAGGTGGAACAGTCACAGCACAATTGCTGTATCAAGTAAAGAGAAATCCCAAGAGACCCGACCGTATATATACTGGTTGAGGCGGGGGATGAGCTAAGAGTATGAATCCTTGCAGTCACGAAAGCTTCAAATCTAGAAGTATTTACAAATGTTTACTAAATTAAATACAGCATAAAAAATGAACGATGAAACCGCATGGAAGGGGTTGCCATATTGTCTGACTCTTTCTGTCTTACACAAAGACACGCTCATCGCCGATTGATTGCTGCGTGTGGGCAGCTACAATCTTAATTAACATCGCTTCCACGAGCAGTTACATTTGCGTGCGTTGTTCGCCAATGAGCAGCAAAACGTGCACTCGCTGCAGCTGAACTGGTCTTTGCGTGCACAAACGCCGGTGGGATGGCGCCGCATTAATCTGCACCGATACCAAACGGCGATGTCCCACGCGTTGTGGGTGGTGGGGAGGCAGGTGCGTGCTTGCAAGTGGCGAGAGACCCATACACAATAATGGTGAGCCTTGCACGATCACACTTCTCACTTTAATTTCAAAACACACGCGACCATACTCTTTGGTGTTGCGATCGAAACGTCGTGATTTGTTTTATTATATTTCTAACTACGTGACTTTACCGGACGAACCAAAGAGTATGGATTCCTGCAGTCAGGAAAGCTTCAAATCAAGATTGAACACGCGACCATATTTCGCCAAAGGCAAGAAAGGGGGCTGTTGCTTGATGACCCCCCCCGGTATGTTACCCCTTGACGAGTGCAGGTTAAAACAGACACCCCTGACATTGTGCTAGACATACTGTAAACACTCTATACACGTGTGCGCACATGCGCATGCACACGAGCAAGTGTGTGTGTGTGTATTTGGACGCCCGTATTTGTATTTTGTAAAATCAAGCTGTGTCGTGTGTTAATAGAGTATGGCTAAATGCAACTAAAAGACTGTACCATAATTCAAAGGCAAATTCCTTCACGGCAAAGAGTTTGTGTGTGTGTGTGTGTATATATGTCTTTTATATTAAACAAGGCCCCATGGTTGACATAAGGTGCCCTTTCCAATACTAGTTGGTGACCCCGCAGTGTGTCTAGCATGAGGCGATGCACTGCTCTGTGACAGTTTCAAATTGACACTTTGTCTCGTGACACGATGCCAATAACGCAATTGGAATAAACATTTGCAACACTTCACTATCATTGCAGCTAAAGCACGACGTTATTCCTAATGCCATGAAGCAAATATGTCCCTTGACGATGCATTTTTCAGAGTTTGCAACCTTGAAGTAAAAGTGGAGCCCGTTTAATGACAACACAGAGCAAACCTGCCAATTCCCATTGTCTTTTAACACGACATCGTGACTGCAAAGGTCAAAGCGGTTTCTTGCTCATTTGAGAACTGAAGCAATCCTCGTCACCTCTTTACGGGCTTGGACCAGTGGTGGAAATTCCACATTTTGCTGACAGGAGTGAGGAATAGCACTTGTCACTTCCCCATAAAGTGGTAATTCTTTCATGAACCCTGGAGTTGGTGATGGCCTGAGTCAACCCATTACCAGGATGTGAACTCACAGACTTACGATTGTGAGCCGCTCACTCCCTCTACCGCTGAGACACCCGGTCGGATATTGCACTTTTCTTTTTCTGCACTACCATCGGCCTTATTTGTTCCATTGGGCCGTTCGACAAAAATTAAATGACAAAAAACTGCTTCTTAGCCTTTGCATATTTGTTTGCTGATTCTTTTTCTTTGCCAGTTTGAATTGGATCCAAAGACTGTCTTCAACACCGTCAGGCACCTGCACCGACTTGGTGATCGTTCTGAAGAAACAAAGAAAGGGTTTTATTAGTACCACCTTACACACCTCGATGCAAACCATAGTGTCGTCCCATACATGACTATAATCATCATTCAAATATGGCATTGGCTGTGCAGTGCAAATTGAAGATGGGTACAAAAAATATTAGATGTAATATATTTCAGCGGTAACGGAGGATACATATAAAGAGATAAGACAAATTACGTAATAAAAAGAGGAACACATTTTAAAATTAAAACTGTATCTCATTTAAGGCCACATTCACAAAAGATAATAATGTCCATGACTTTTAACCACTCACTTTAATGGGTAAGATATTTTCATTTAAAGATTTAAAATGTATCCATTATACCCCACAACTTCCTTCTTGGCATTTAATAACAAAAACAAATATTAACACAACTTTGTATATTTCATGCATTTCACAATTTCATTTTTGATTCGTTTAAATAGTATATTTATTTATATTCGCAAGGAAGAAAATTGTATATTACTTTATTTACTGCAATTGTTGATTTTATATATGTAATGCGAAGCTGATGGATTTTTGCCACCCTCTTGGAAATGAAATGTGAATTTCAAGGTCATTCTCTCGTTAAATAAATAATGCATTAGTCTAGCCTTCACTAATAAATCACTAGTGTAATTGTCCGTCATTTGACGGGTTCATAAAAATTACATTTAATGAAAAGACTAAAATTTCAAGATTGTATTGAATTTATTTAATAGAAAATCTCTCAGTGTAAGTCACCTTTACCGTAGAGTTGTAAGAGCCGTTTGAGTTATACCGTTCCAGCAGGCAGAATGTTATCGAAATGTTTCAATCAAAAATTGGTTTTCTAAACTTTATATTTTCCTCACCTGTGAGAGTGAATAAAACAATATAAACACTTGATTCTCGACTTATGTTTGTTGAAAATGTGCAATTGTAGTAACAACACTAATTGTGATTAATTTTCATTATGAACTATTTGATTATTTAAATTTACTAAGGTCACTTTAAATTTATTCCATGACGGAGCATTTTGCTTCTCCATGGGAGAATGGAGAAGCATACATTTAGTAATTTTTTAAAAGTCTTGTTATTAAACATTTTCTTTTAATGATTCTACCAGGGCTTTTCATTCTGTGGAATGAATATGTGATTGTTATAATTGTATTCTCCACTTTGCTTCGTTCTACTACAAAGTTTCAAGTATTTTTATAGTAATAATTACTTTTAATATTTTATAATTATACGATAATTTCAATAGAATATTCTGAACATCTGCAGTTTTAGTTAGGTGTTGAATATTTTCAAGTGAATTTTATGCTAAATTTCAGCTTTCCAACGCCTAATTTTTAATACGTGTTTTCTCCTACAACATCAGAGTACAGCGCCACATTAAATACGCACTACAATGACAATAGTTTAAAGTGATTTGAATCATGTTTTCTTTTCAAAATAGAAATATGTTTTTGGGGGGGCAGAGCTTTGTGACGTCATATTTGAGGGGGGGTCTGACTTTTTGTGACGCCGTGTGACGAGGGGGAGAGGGGGGGTCAAAATCGGCCAAAATCGCGTGACGTCATTTATGGACGTCCTCTTATACACATATCACGGATATATTACACGCATGCATATGCGTGTATGTCGTGCGTACGCATTCACAATTTTCTTGCGCCGACACTCACCGCCCCTTCATCCGACGCCGCTGCGTGCCCGGTGCACGTGGTGTCGCTGCAAGTGGCGGGGGGCATTGTCGTCTTCACAATAATGCTGCTGCTGCCCAGTGGATAATGCCGCGCGCGTCCATCAAGCGTCCCTGGGCTGCACGAATGGGCTCGGGACGCCGGAGGGAGCTGCAGCCAAAGTGTCCCTTTGGGGGTGCGGAGTGCAGGGGTGGGTGGGTGGGTGGTGGCTGGTGGCTGGGGTGGGGGGTGCAGGGGTGGGTGGGTGGTGGTTGGGGTGGGGGGTGCAGGGGTGGGTGGGTGGTGGCTGACGTGGGGGGGGTGTGTGTAGGGGTGGGTGGGTGGTGGCTGGGGTGGGGGGATGCGAGGGAGATGCTAAGGGGACGGAAGGACAGCAGCGCGATAGGAAGACAGCGGAGGGAGGGATGAGAAGGGTAGGAGATGGGAGGATAAGGAGGTGTGGCTGAAGGAGGTGTCTCTGGCTGCCTTTGTTGTGCTGTGAATGGGTGGTGGTAGGCTGGCTGGGGTAAGAGAGAGAGCGAGGGAGGGGGTGGTGGTGGTGGTGTGGACAGGCGTGGGGCTGGCTGCTGGCTGCTGCTGCTGTTGAGGTGGTGGTGGTGGGGAAATCGAGCAGGGAGGGCTGACCAAGTTTAAAAACGCCCCGCTCATCCACGCGGCCTCTCAGGCAGCCAGACAACCGCGGCTGGGCAGGGCTGTCACGCAGTAGGGAGACCCCATAGGCGCTCGCTGCTGCTGCTGCGCGTGTCTCGTGCAGCGCACGCGTGCTGGTGTATCGGTGCGCGCGCGTGTCAGCCACCTCTGTAAGAGGGAGGAGGAGTGGGGGGGGGTACATGCAATAGGAAGCGCGTTATACACCACCGTACGGCAATACTGAAGTGCTTGTCCGCTGCGGTGTTGAGCGGGGCGCGTTTGCTGGAGGCGGAGGAGCGAGCAGGCGCGTGTAGGAGGTGTTCGCTCCGTGTCGCCGTTCAATTATTCACAAGGCTTCGCGTCTCTCTTCTTTTTTAATTTCCACACTGAAACATATCGACGAGAGGGCGCGTGGGTACGCCGATTGTAATAGCAGCGTGCAGGCTCGGTTGGAGGAGCAGGAATAACAGCACAGCGTGTCTTTGGCTCAACAAATAGGGCAACATCCCTGACATTTCTTATCATTAGCAAATCACACGTAACAACATCAGGCGCAGAGCATTTAGACTCGTCTGCAGAAGAATGATTCGTTAAGAACCCGACAGAGGTTAAAGCCGGACAGCCCAGCCACGTTGCAGCAGCAGCAGCAGCAGCAGAAGCTCGGTCTTGTTTATTGTTTACGTCGGTTTAGACACAATTTTGTGTTGTTGCTATCGCTTTGTGTAGCTGCGCAAGGCAACAACGATTGTGTTACGATGGCTGCGCGGCTCGCATTCATCGTCGTCGCCATCGCCAGCACGTCGCTGAAGATGCCAGGTAAATTGCACACACGCGCGCAGGCAGAGACAAAGATCCCCCGTGTAGCCTGAACAGACTGTCGGGGCAAGTGCTGTTAGCGAGCAGCACCTATGAAGGCCAGCACAGCACTACGCCCGGCTGCCTTTGTCTCCCCAGTGGCGATGTTTACACATCGCACCAGGTACTCATTTGGGGCTGAGTCGACCTAGGGGAGGCTCAGGACCGGTTCAGATAATCGTCACCGGCGTTGGCCGTAAGCGGGAATCGAACTCGGGTCGCCGGGTTCATAGCGCAGCGTAGCGCTAACCGCTACACCACCACCCCCCACACTCACACACGGACGCGCAACACACACACACATCAACGTGCACAATATTACTTGTGTCACATCATACGCACACTCATATACACACAAACGAGCCCGCTGCGTTATCGATGTAATGCATGACACGGGGTGTGTAATGTTGAGTCAACAATCGAACGCCCCGACAATGTCACAGGTTGCGTGACTGTGACGAACGAGATATCTGCCCGTGCATGCTCAGGTGGCGCTCGGCACGATAGCGCGCCGTGCAGTCAACTACGTGCGCGTCTTGCGAGTTGAAGATGCGCGCTGTTGTCCAGAGCTCTTCGTGTCTCGGCTATACACGTGAATGATCTGTGTGCGATCCGTTTGTACTTTACGCGCGGCCGCCAGGTCATGCGACGCGGTGACATGAAGTCATCACGATGATTCTCATGCTCTACGGTTCACTCGCGCTACGTAGCGGTGTACACGCGTGTGTTGACATTGTGCCAACATCTTGTGAATGGGAATGGCATTGCGGTTGTCCGTACTGTCGTGTGACGCTCTCGCAATGAAGGCAAACGTGGGTTATGCTTCTCCCTGCCGTATGTATTCCACTGCACGTTTTATATATGCGTACATTGTGTGTGTATGGTCAGCAAGTGTGAGATGTTATGTTATTGTTAAAATGGTATTACTCTCGGTGTGTGTGTGTGTGTGTCATGTTCACCATATTCGATGCGTCTGAGTCTAATGTTCATGCTGTATATAGACAGCATAGAATGACCGTGCTGTTGTGTAACTCGGTGTTGGACCATAGGTAGTACACGCATTACCTTGTGTGAATCCAGCATCGTATTTGTATTAAAGTCTGGACTTAATTTCTCGTGGAGTATTTTCCGGAGCTCAGCCCCCGACAGTTGTATGAAGCCATGAATGACGCGTGTACACGTGGAGTTCATTCAGAATGTAGGCATTGGGAGTCTTACATAGCACGGGCACAATATAATGTAGATTATAATGGATTACAGAACACTTGTAAGTTTACTTACATGATCTGAGTTACAGGCTATAACAGTATTTGTTATATTGCTTACACACATTACATAATCCATATAATTGCCTAAATGGGTATAGTAGACTGTGTATAGAATCACTGATTAAATTATGTATGCACTTTTGTGGGAATGTGCCCTGAAAGTATAATTCCATGTGCGCGCATCTCGTGAATTGCGCGGCAGTCTATTTGATGTTTGTACCCACCGACCGCATGCAGCCCTCCAGGTAAGGGGTTTTGTGTCCGAGTGAATTCACCCTCAATTATTGTTGCTCACTTTGTGAGTAAAACGTAGCTGCAATACCAGAGGGTAGCGTTCAACATCGAGTCATGCCTGACGGCAAAGGCGCAGCCGTGCAATTGCTTGGCTCGTGACACCGCTGTTGGAAGAACCCTTCACGAAGAGGAGCTCTAGAGAGCCTCCCTAGAAAACACTTCACTTACTCTTTATCAGGCATTGCCTCTGCTGGGGCAATGTTAGGTCTACACTGCTTCTTTATCAAATACCGCGTCTCGCACTGCATTTTGTCGAACCGGACTTGATTGGGCTGCAACATATATCCAATACAGTGTATCAGTAATCATAATGACAATCCTTTGTTTATACTGAATCGTGCACTTAACAAGCTAACGTCAAGCACGTCTTTTTATTTATTTACAGGGGTGGCCCAGAATATGACGGATGCATTGGCTGAGTCAGCTTAGTTTTAGAGAATGTGTTTGGTACTTGCTCTGCTGCCATGTCTGTGATTCATGACGATTTATCCTGACACAGGAAATGAGAAATCACAAATTGTAAGTTGCTTGAGCGAGCATTACGAGGCTCTTAGTCAAGTTCATCGAGTTGACATCAAAACCGGGGGGATCCGTGGATTGCCGCCGCAGTACTTTAGGGGCCGCTTAAACGCCTCCCCATGTTATATTTGTCACGGTGGTGGAGGGTAGGGGGGTGTTTGACTATACTTCACCACACTGGTCAGTGTGGGATAGTGAATGGAGCGGCCCAAGATCGTTTCGGATATTATATTACTCGCCACTGATATTATTCATGACCCGGATGCAACGCATGAATATTCGATATTATCCATGCCCGGGATTCAAAGCATGAATATTCGATATTATCCATGCAACACATTCATATTCAAATAACAAAGGGGTTCGTCTGACTGTTGTGCTTGATACAGTGAATGCACGCTGGACACTACGGCGTGGCGTGGCGTGGCAGGCGTGTTTCCAGAGGGCCCCATCAATTCCCACAGACAGCGTCACAGTCAACCCCTGGGGATACGCGGCAACATCCAATAACATCGCTGATTGACTCCCGCTCTGTGGCTAAACGGTCACGAGAGAGGCAACCTGGGATGCTCGCTTCACAAAACGCCCGGACCACTCATCACGATGCATGCTCGTGCAATGAACGCCTCCTGTCCGTACACCGATGATCCATTCAGCATGTTGTCCACGCGAACTCATCGATGAAACTCTGATTATCTTGGTGCTGGCTGTGCGTGCGATGCGAGACTCTGCACGGATTAGAAGAGTGACCCAGGACGCGGTGGGAACAAGATCCTAGAATGATCTGAGGCGTTGTGCCGATATAAGTCACCCAGGAGTGTTATTGCATGAGTACGAAGTCCCTATCTTCTGAGGTTTTGTATGGATAAGGGGACGAGCCACAAGTGGTGGCAGTTTCTTATTATCCGCGTTTATGCCAGACATGCTGCGCGTAGAAAAATATGTAGATTGTGCACAGGTGCAGAGTAGGAGGAGGAGTTGCCCCTACTGCCAGCACATCAAAATGAGTAAAGATACGTTTGTACAGGGTGATCCAGATGTTGTGTGAACCTCAGTTAATTCTCCAAAACCTCATATTTTTTTCAAGCAAGATTTATTTAAAACAGAATTGAATATATGCAATACATCTGGACGACCCCTCTTGTACATTCAGAAAACTCGTCTCCCTATGCATCAACTGGTACATCTCTCTGCATCGCCTTGTAGGCAGCCTGATGGCCTTGTGACAGACTTACAACCGGCGGGTTGCGAGTTCACATCCCAATGTCTGGTCGACTCGGGCCATCATTCCATTCTGGTCATTCTCAATGCATTATTGGCTGAAAGCCTTACCACGCCATGAGCGTTGTTTTGACCATACCTCACCGTGCTGGTCAATGCGGCTTGGTGACAGTGGAGAGGGCAGGGGTTGGTTTAGATATCGCTCGCCACTGATGCAGCCAGAAATCAATTTCAGGTCGCTGAGTTCACAGTGCAGCACACTAACCACTGCACCACCGCTCTACCTCCTTTGCCTAATGTGATGTGGTTTTTCTGCAGTACCTTCATGTTTACGCATCTGCGCTCTCGTCTCTTAAAATGTCTTTTTTCACGGAAGGACCCTTGCACGTATATTCCGTAACAAAGTTTATAGTTTATTGACACGATCGTGATAAACGTACAGCGTCATTACGTGTGCCCACTGATGACTTGTGCACAGATGCACCGCCTTGAACATGAATTCCATTTTACGGCACGGTGATATGAGCATGAGAATGGAATGTCAATGGCTGCAGCAGCAGCAGCAGCGGTGGCAGCAGCAGCAGCAACAGCAGCAGCGGTGGCAGCAGCTGTCGTGGGGTTTGTTCGTGGAGGCTTTGAGAAGTAACGACAGAATTCATGTCGAGTCGGTCCATGGAGCTCCCACAGTCGCGCCGAGTTGAGCGAAGTCTCCCCACACTTTTTTCGAGACGTTAAAACAAAATCCCTGCCAGGTTTGTAACGGAGCGCCCGGGACAATTCGGCACACGATGCGTTCGCACAGCGTGCCATTTACACAGCACGGTCACTGTGAACGCGTGCACTTTTGTGTCCGCGTAAACAAACAATTACATTCGCATTATCCGTCGAAGGTTTCATAATCTGTGAATAAAATATTTTGCACGCAAAAAAAACATTCACATTCGCAAACGTCTTTTGACAAACCATCCATTAACATCACAGATCCACAAGGCTCCCTTCCACACGACTGAATCAATCTCTGCGGGCTCTCGCCTGGCTAATTAAAGAACATTAGCACCTGTGCGTGTGACATTAGCTTATCTCCCAAAAGGTGTTCGTATTATACAAGCTGCTAAATGAAAATACAAATTAGGAGCGAGGGGGGAGGGGGCAGATGTCTGAGAGCTGTACGAGGTGTCCTAAAGAGGTGGCTTTATAGAACACCTCAAAACTCATCTTCTTGGTTCTTTCGTTAAAGTCACGTAGAAGGGAAGTAATAAAAAAAACATAATACAATTATTCTCACGACGTTTCGGCCACAACGCTAGCAGCCGTCCTCAGGTGAAGACCAGGTCTGTCGGGGAGACATTCAGACGCTGTCTTCTCGACAGACCTGGTCTTCACCTGAGGACGGCTGCTTGCGTTGTGGCCGAAACGTCGTGAGAATTATTTTATTATTTTATTTTTTGTGTTACTTCCATTCGACGTGACTTTACCGAAAGAACCAAGAAGATGAATCCCTGCAGTCACGAAAGCTTTAAATCGAAATTTAACCTCAAAACTCCTCTAGTCGACGGCTGGCTGGTGATGAACACTGTCATCGGTAACATTGACAACACATCTTCTTGGTTCTTTCTTACTTCCCTTCTACGTGACTTTACCGAAAGAACCAAGAAGATG